GAACCGCCGAACCGCGCGACCCCGCGGGGACAACCGCCCATCCCTTCGCACACGCGCTTCCAAAATAAACTCAAAGATAGCGGGATGAACATGGAAATCGACTTAATACGCTTATTTGTAAACTCTTGTTCGGCCCTCGTGCCTGGAGGCTCCATAGCGCGCTCCGGCGGCCCCCAGCCTCCCACGCACGGCGGGCGGGCGCCGTTTCCCGAGGAGAGAATAGAGACGACGGCCAAAACGTTTTTTGCCCCACCTTCACTCTGTCAACTCAAATGTGTACATAGTACACATTAAAGAAAGTGTACATGGCATGTATGCTTTAATTAATGTGTACATGCCTATGTACACATTTATAAATGTGTACATGCCCATGTACACATTTATAAATGTGTACATGCCCATGTACACATCTTTTAAAGTGTACATATAACCGTTAGTATATATGCCATGTACACATCTTTCAATGTGTACATGCCTATGTACACATTGATAAATGTGTACATGGGCATGTACACATTTATAAATGTGTACATGGGCATGTACACATTTACAAATGTGTACATAGCCATGTACACATTAATTAAAGCATACATGCCATGTACACTTTCTTTAATGTGTACTATGTACACATTTGAGTTGACAAAGCATATTAATGGTAGAGTACGGCTGCAGTGGGTGCCAACTTCAAATTAAAGACAGCCCTCAACCTCTTTTCCCCATCTTTTTTTTTTTCCTTTTCGGAATCCCTCGAATCGTCCCCAAATCTACGCACGCGAGGTCATACGCTCACTCCGCCTCCCGCGCCCTCCGCGTAAAGACTCGCGAACCGTACGGCACCCGCCGATTGTGCGACGATCCGCAAGTTTCTATGAACAAGGCGGGCATTTTCCATTCGGTGATATTCCGCCCCGAACAAACGCGATGCACAATTAAGCAATCATCGCTATCTCACACGCCTCACTCGCGTGTCGACCAAGCAGCCGAGACGGAAAGATGCGCGCGGAGAATTAGCGAGAGAGTGTGGGTGGGCGAGTGCGTGCGTGTGAGAGAGAAAGAGCGCATTACTGGAAACTATTTGCAAGCACCACCTGATGAGCTTATTGACAGAGTGTTGCCAAAACAGAGCGCACACGGCCCGGTCCACGCGGTTGGTCCGGTGCACCCGGCCGGCCCGAGGGCGTGGGTGCGCTCGGCTGGCACAGTGCGCTATGGCCCGGCTCTGCCCGGCTCACACGACTCAAGGCCCCTGCGTATAGCGTGCGCTCACCGCTGCACTCTGCGCAACATATACTGTCTCGTTTGTTGTATTATGATTTCAGTTTCAACGGTGAAGGTCCCGATCCTTGCCTTCCAGAGGGTCTGCAGTAAACACGTTTGGAGTAAGTGATAAGTTGAAAATAGGTAATTTTAATGCAAACACAGACACAGGCAATAAATGAGACCCATGGCAGCCGATGAGAAAGTTTTCGCACTAATGACATCAATATAAAATGCGCTAATGAATGCCATTTCAATGCGAAAATCTAAATTATCGCTTCATAAAAGTGACCGAATGTTGTAATCAAATTTAGACAGGTATTGCAACTAATTTTTATTAATTAAAATGAAATTCTTCGGAGTTTAAGTATGATCCGCGATAATTAAAACCGACTGGTTAGTTTCGTGGACATAGTTGACTGGCACAGTCCCCCTTGCTTCGGAGCCAACAAATTCGGCAATTTAAAGGAGCTCGGCGCCTGCGAAACTGGACATAGGCCACCCCGCAGTACACGGATGCACACCAGGCAAGCTGATGTCTACCTACCAGGCGCCTTGAGTGCTTGCGGAGGCCAAAGTTCGTAACGGCGAATGACGGACGTAATTTCTGGAAGAAATCTAGGACCGGCTGGCACCCAGCACCTTCATCTTATTTTTACTATCGCCTCTAACTATATGGTGACTACTGCGAACCCGCACGTTTGGTACATACCCAATGTAAAAAGACGGCTTGTTTTCGCAGTAAGCGTGGCGTTTTCGAAGATATGGCTCAATTTGGTTCCAGCCTGAACTGAACTACAAAGGCCCCTCCTCGTACTTCTCCCGGCCACAACAGAGTCTGTTTGGCGCGGCGTCGAGGAAGTCTCCGTATACAAAGTAAAGCACAAGAGGACGCGTGTCTGCCTCGGCGGGTCGCGCCGTGACTCACGAGCCTCGTGATTGCCCCCTAAACGTATTCCGAGTTAGCGCGCCGCGCATATCCGGGGCGGCGGCGGCGACAGATCGCACACACACGACGACGGTTCGCACGCGCCCGTCACTCGCAAAACACATTTACCGCCTAATTGACGGCCGACGGAGTGCGGGGTGCACCACGGCCAGGTTGGGCAAGCAGCGGAGCACAGCCTTCCAGAGGACTTTTCCCATACGAGTCCAAGCGCACGACACACACACCACTCCCCACTTTTTGACCATTCAAGGCAAGGTCGGCCTGGTCTCGCGGTTCGGTTGAGTTCGGGGGTCGCGGTCGGCGGCGGCGTGGCGTTCTCCCCTGATCTCCGTAAAGGCCAAGCCGCTTAACTTTCACGCGTGCAATTAGTAATGACCGCCGAAACATTTAACCCGCCTGGTTTTGCTCGCACCCATTCTCGACCATGCATAGCGTCCTGCAAAGCCATAGTGCGACTCGGTTTACTAAGATTACAGCTTTTCAAGATTTTTACCATTACTTCACTGTTCACTCGGCTTTAGCCATACGATGTGACGAGTTCAGCGGTTTGACTTACTTTTTCTACGACCTTTCTCATATCGCATGCGCTGACTTTCTCAGGAGGTGAACCCCACCTTCGGGCGCGGCCCATGTACAGCGAAACATTAAGTTGGAGCCCTCCGCGGTGACATGTGCTTGCTGAAAATGTTTCGCTGACCGCGCATGCCTGCCTGCGGCCGGAGCGGCGCGGGCGGCCATATGCCAGCCACCGGGGTGGAACATGCAAAGCGCGTTGTGAAATGGTTTCATAAGCGGGCTGTGTGACAAGTGACATCCATCATCTCGTCGCGGACGACGTTCGGTCGCAAGTGTTTTCTTCTATATTTTGATCAGAGAAGACGTCAAACGGCAAAATCTCATTTGGGGCGCCTCCGTGATCCGTGATCCCGTCCCCGAGTTATATTTAAGGTAAAGAATGATCGTACAGTAATTTGTGTTCCTCTTGCCGAGAGTCGCGTAAATCACGGGAACATTGGAACCTGTGACATTGGCAGGGGGTACTCAGGAGGCTCCTCCGCTGAAGAAACCGACCGTTCCGACTTTCTCGAGCTCAACCTCCCGTAATTCCTCTGTCCCTACAGTTGTCCATCGCTCTCTCACACCACTCGGGAATCGATTCCGAGCCGTCATTCGGGGCGGAGACGACACCACAGCAGCAGCTCGTGTCGCTCGCTAAGTTTCAACGCCGCGCTGTAAATTATCGCACACCCGTATGAAAAACTAAATCGTTTTCGCGAATACAGATTGCCATCCGAGGCGCTCGTCAAAGCGTCTCGCCGTGTCGTTCGGTGGCCGGCCGGACACACGGCTAATTAATGGCCACAGTAAAACACAGTGTGACGAGCAAAAGCAGTGGGAAAGCAGCGATACCGTATTTATTATTGCTATTGAGAATGTTCGAAGTATTGGGGCCCAACGCGGCGCGCTGAAGAGAAGCACCGCCACCTCGCGGAGCGGCTCATCCTCTCGGGCACAGCAGGGATGGAACTATTTGCCAAGAAAACTGAGAGAAACTGGGAAGTGTGCGATTTGGCTCCTTTGAATGGTGGAGTGAAATATAACGGATAGTTTTTTGGCGGACGGTAATAAATTTGTGGGATAGCAACTCGTAAAAATGAAAACTGGAAAGATGAGCGAACTAATTTATAATTTGTTATCTTATTTAGGCAATTTACGGGGCAGCACTCGATAATAAAATATTCCCCAATCAAAACAGCTCGCTTTACGATGAAGAAAGTGATTCCCAACAAAACAAACCGCTCGGCGCGATAATTAATAATCACGCAGGAATATTACTCGCGTCTAACGATTGGTGTAAAAAGTAATAAAAATATTACTCGCGTTTTATGATTGGTGTAAAAAGTAATAATAATTGATAAACC